CTTAGCTGATACATTTAACTACCCCAGTGGATTAATGCGTCGTTAAGGCATCAATCTTGTAATGGTGCAATAGAAGTTTTGCCATCATTTTTCATGTGGAAAGCATTTTCGCCAATACAAAAATTGCGCAGAGCTCAGACAATCGAGCAACGATGAGTTGCATCTGTTAAGCTGAGTCGTGCTAGACAAAGGCTCGTCAAGGTCCCAATCAACAATTTCCAGCAAAAAAGGCAAGCGTCCCCAGAAGCACAAAGCAGAGCGTATTCCCTTAAGGAAAATTACTCGCTCACTGTCTGGGTGCGAATGCGATTTAACCTGTATCACTTTGTGCTTCTCACTTCATTTACACTTCAGCTTCCTCCCTCTAGCTACTACTAATACTTTGTATACAGCGCTGTCCTTCGATGTGTTTATGCGCCGATCTTTTATCATATTATAAATTCTCAGGTTGGAATTGTGGGACGCAGAAATTCCGTTTCCACAAGTAAATTGTCCGCTGAATTTTCTGGATAAATTTGATACGTCCGTTTAGATGCAACAATCAGCGGCCATCCTTCTCAGCGGCCATCCTTCTCAGCGGCCGAATTACCGGCAAGTAAACAGAACAGCGTCAAACAGTAACGTGACTGGCTCTCGTAGTCAACCCCACGGCTGTTCTATGGCTGCACGACACGGGTGGCTGTAGATCATAGATATAGAACTGAACTTCTCTAGTTCTGGTCCCGCAGGTCCGCAAATACTCGGTGCCGTCGCGCAGTTGCTGTTCTTCGATTGCTGCTCGTCAACTGCTGACAATTCTAGACCGTGCAGGTGGCGGCGGAGAGAAAATCATTAGAAAGCGCAATCGCCGAGCAATATGATGAACGTCGTAAACTGGTCAACGTCATTTAAGCAGCAGCAGCAGCAGCAGCAGCAGCAGCAGTGGGTGGTAAGGCGGCGTCACTGCCTTTCGCCGAAACCCGAAGGGTTGACTTGATGGTTAGTGGAATTATTGTTCGATGGCTGGCCTGTTGACTTGTCGACTGATTGAGTAGACAGCTAATCGGTTCATCCTCGTCTGGAACAGAGTGAAAATAAACATTAAACCATCACCAAGCGGACTCATGCTGAGCCTCATGTGGAAATGATGACTTTGTGCGCTAAGTCAGTCACTATCCAAGAACGGGTCACAATTCAGAACGAACGCGAGCGACATGATGAGGCTGCAATAAAAACAGCATTAAACATCAACAGCTATGGCACAATAAACGAAAAGGGCCGTACACGGATGGCGTATATATACGTGGATGTCCTTAGATAGCTAGGAAAATTAAAGTTGAACGGATACACACTGATATAACGATAGATTAACAAATAAGTATAAATTGCAAATGGAACAGGTGCGATCAGCATCTATGAAACATGTAACATACAGAGCTAGATACTGATAAATGACAAACTTCATTTATAATATTAGAACGCTATCTGTATAAGTTGTGCTACACTGTGAGTAAGCAAAATTTTTTGCTTAGACGTTTTGAAAGAAAATTTGAAAATCATTGTTTGCGGCAGCCTGAGCTTGGGGAAAGGCATGAAATTGTTATTAAATATGGCGAACCGGAATGATAGAATCGATGAGTAATTACGCTTGGCTAGGTTACGTCAACCCATCATCCTTTAATGGAACTATGTTTAAGCTGTGGTATTTTGCAACAAGTAATGATAATGTACGAATATTAGCGGATCAATGAACATTTACCCTATAGTAATCAATGTAGACTTACTACGTTTGCTTCTGAATATGATTAGCTTTTTGTCGTACTTCATCGACTCCGATGCGTCGGTATTGACATTGGGTATATTCAGGCATATCTAATTTTATTTTCCAAAAGAACTTCAATTTTACATCATTCGTACTTCAGTGACATATGAAACTCACCCCTTTGCAAGTCTACTAGTCGGACCCAGGCAGCATGATAACCGTATTTGACATTGTACTTGTTTCCTGTTTTTGTTGGAATAACATTGGGCATTTTCGACTACTTTTTACTCGCTTCCTATCATGTTAACTTTCGATTCTCATTTGGTCTTTATTATGTCATGGACGCGAGGCGAAAGACACCTTCCTGCTTAGTTAGCATCAAAAAAAGAATATAACAATTATTACATAAAAAAATAATGATAATAATACTTATTATAATGGAAAAAGAACAAGAAAACAAGTGCTATGAAGGTAGCGGCTATAACGATTTCGTCTGTTATCCTTCTCTGCGGCGGTCTGCTTTGAAGCCTAGCGGCAATAGTGACCGAAGCAACAACTGATACTGCGTCTGATATATCAGATTTTTTACATAACGTCAACAGAGCGGGAAAACAGGCCGAGCGCACTTAATTTACCATTCGGTCGTTTGTACTGCCTAAATAATGTCGGTTACTACTGCTGTCGGCGGCCGGCCCGTACTGTCGCATTATTTTTACTAGTATTCTCCTTATTAGTTCTTTCGTTTTTACGATAAAATGTCATACATCTGTAAGTGGGGTTCAATTTTGAATATACGAAGGGTTATTGCGTGTCGCAGTATTTAGTAAAAACTGAATCTGAAAAGGCATTGTGTGTGCATCAACAAATCTAAAACTTTACGTTACATTCTAAAAACATTGCCAAATACGCCGGCACCAGTAGCCGTGCCGCTTTAACTGGGGCCATTCAGTGATGTGACCCCTGCACTTTTCTAGGTACTGCCATCCAAAAAATCATCAGCAGGTTTTTTTACGGATAAACCCACAAAAAGGAAGACCACTTACATTCTGTTCATATATAAATCTACACAGAAACTGCTTTTTTCATATAATTGAGCCTTGCAGATTTTTTTTTACCCTTTTCATATCAAACGTTTGAGCATTAACAATGTTGTCAGTTAAACCGAAAATAGAATAAACAATAACCATCTTTAGCGATTCCAATTGTTTGAATTCAGATTTTCTAAAAAATATCTCCAAGTCCACGAGCTTATATAAATAATATCATCCATAGATATTGGCGAGTCCCCGGTTTTGTTCCTCTCAAGGTGCCTTTTTCTCGCGCATCTAATCACGCGCGTGCCACTGGATCTTGAGCAACATGTGATATGTGCCTGATTGACAATAAGCTGTTCCACAGTTCGACAAAGCTATCCGTTTAGAGTGGGGCATAGGGTTGTGCCCATACGGATGTTCGAAAGTGGCCCAGCATGCATACCAAAAGAAGAGCTCAGACCCGGGGCTTCATCTTTCAGTTAGTACGCCAAAGCCTCTCTCGAACAAGCTAGTTTTTTTTTTTTGAGTAATGATACATACGGGAAAGACTAAGTTAGTCACGATATGAATTGCTCAATTCGACAACGAAGACAAAGAAGTATATTCCAACTTCTTTTACTACTTTTGGTCAGTAGGAGTAGTTGTGGTGCTCTGGTAGCGGATGTAGTAGAAAGAGCGCGAATGGCAACTGGTAGAAGCAGAAGCTACTATCTCTTAGTCGTCCATTGCAACGACTGGAGTCGCCGCCGCCGCCACCGTCACCTCGGATCACCACTAGCTGATGCCAACTCTCCAATTGTTCATGGCTCCCCGTCTCTCGACGGTCGCTGGTTCTCGGGGCCGCTTCGCTACTGCCGTTTGATGTACGTAACAGGAACTCTCTAGCTTTCATTGCTCTGTAAGTCGATAGCTTTCGCGGCTAGAGGAGGTTGCCAGGACTCTGCAGTTAGTACCAGGAACAGCAACAGAAATAGTGATAGCAGTATAGGCGTACAGCCATAGCCGGCTGGCAGTGTTGCGGCGCAGCCAACAGCGCCGGTCAAGCAGCCCTCCAGCAGCTCCTCGTTCCCTCAGCACAGCTACGCAGACTACGGTGGCAGCAGCCCTAAGTGGGGCGGTGCTTTCGTCCATGGGCGGAGCCAAGGAAAGATCATGGCGGATCACCCGTTGTGGTGGTGGCGGTGGTGGTGGTGCTGCTGCTGCCGCCGCCGCCGCCGCCGCCTTACTGCTGTCGTTTGTGCTGCACATGACTGTGTGTGGGTGTGAGTCTGTGTTTGTTCGCCGCTGCCGCGTTTGCTGATGATGCTAGCACAGCGGCTATAACCATGGCTACGGAGACCCGAGAGCTGTCTGTGCTTGCATTGCTATTGCTGTTTCTCGTGTGGCACGGCGCCGCCGCCGCCCCCTACCAACTAGCCGCTCCAGCTGCTGCCATGACCGGTACCGCTTCTATAATAGTTTCTTGTGCCGCCTCTGTTGCCCAAACCCCTGGTAATCTCGGGGCTGCTATCCTCTTGCTGCTTTAGCATATAGCGCGCGCGTGCTCGCCACCATTGCCGCAGCCGGTGAAGGATGGAAGGATGAAGTCAGCACAGCCATTGCGACGGCAGCATCAGTAGCCGTCGCCGCTGAATTACCGCTGCGTTCAATAGCACGAGAGAAGCAAGCGGCCGTCACCGCTAACCAGCGCAGTGAGGTTCGGCTGCTTCACTTGCTGCCAGTAACTAACTAATTGGGTGCTACGGCGCGGTATCATCGTTGCTACAGCTCCTACTGCTGATACCGCCATCGCCAATGATTCTACTTCTATTACCGCTGCTGCTGCTATAGCCATGATAGGCGCCAGCAGCGCCGCCGCCGCTGCCGCCACCGCCGCTGCCGCTGGCGCCGCCGCCGCCGTCGTTGTCGTCGTCGTCGTCGCCGCCGCCGCCGCCGCCGCCGCCGCCACCGCCGTCGTCATTGTCGTCGTCATCATCTCTGTCGGGCTGGTCGGTCCGTCGGCGCCTGTTCGTTCGTTGACGGACGACTTGTTTTAGGCTCGTGGAGTCGCTACGGCAGCAGCAGCAGCAGCAGCCGTCACGGCGGCCGCCGCGGCCGTCGACGCGTTAAAGCTAGGCGGGGATCGGATGGCAGCAGCGGCGCCTTGAGGATTCGTCCCTCGTTCGCTGCTCTCGTCGGCTCGTTGTCTCGCACGCGCACCACCGCCTCTATCGCCAGCAGCGTTGGCGCGCAGCGCTGCCTCCGTACGTCCGTCTGTCCGTGCGTGCGTGCGTTTCCTCTGGCCGGCTAGCAGGACAGATAGGCACACTATAGCTGGCAGTTAGCTAGTCACTAGCGATCGTTCTGTTGTTGAATGGAATATAGCAATCGGTGGCAATTGTCGTGAAGGAACTAGTGAGTGGACCGAGTGTGACGGGAATTACGACTAACGGAGTAGTCACAGCAAAGCTACCATTGTCCGCCTGTTGAAGTGATCTCTTAACTGCGTTTCGCTGTTGCTGCTGCTGCTGTTGTTGTTGTTGTTGCTGTTGTTGACTAACGGACATACAAATGGACAGACTCACTGACACTGACCGCAGTACCAAACAACTATCCCATAGTTAGTTACTTCGCTGTCCGTTAAACGCACCCAACAACTGCCGACTGTGAGTTGGAACAAGTTGAAAAAGAGGATCCAAAGCGAGAGCCGTCCGTTCTCCAGTGGACCGGCAGCAGCAGCTGTTGCTGCTGGCGAACACAACAGCACCAATTGGAATAGCACCAGCGGCCGCGAGTACCCGGCAGCGCGGACGCTCCGCGCACTCTCCGCAGAGTACAGTCAATGCTGGCACAGGCAGACAGGCAGTTCATCGACTCCCTAAGCAAAGACAACACTGGAGAGCAGTTAAGGCAGAAAAAACGACGTTCGATGCTAACTGAGACGACGAGTCGGCGTCGCGTCATTTTCACCAGCTGCTGCTGCTGCTGCCGCCGCCGCCGCCGCCGACACCTTCGTTGTTGTTGTGGTGTCGTTTCAGAAGGTTCCATGTGCACCAACGGAAAGAGCGTACAATATGAGTGAAGGCGGTTACTGCTGGAATAACAGTAAAGCCGTAGATCACGGCGGCAGTGTCAGTGCCTGATGCGAACAGTAGACACTTGGAAGAATGAATAACAGCACAAGTGTCAGTGAATGCGGTACGCAATTATCCTTTTAAACACTCATTAGGACGCCTGTACGTTTCGTAGCGGCGTGAAAAAATAGCACAAATTTCATGACTGGGTGACGCCAGCTGTTTGACGAGCTTGTACCACAACCGCTGCCATCATACGACTACCATTACTATCGGCGACCAGCAAAACAGGCCACGCGACGATCTTCCCAACCTGGTGTCCTTATTCCAAGGTGTTAACGATTTTGTCGTTGAAAGTGATTGTGCTAATAACAATAATGGTCGACAATTCGCAGTGACGCCAGAAACAAAGAATTTTTCCAAAGAACAAAGATCGCCCGGTGCTGTTGCAAGTGGCATTCTTTGAGGGAGCTGTTGATAAAGGTGTTTTGTCGCCGCTGCCGCCGCCGCTGCGCGGAATGAAACAATGTAAACGTGAGATAAAAAAAAACAAAGCGAATTGGCTTGTCTTTCCTAAGAGCGAGGGGTTTTTGTAGGCAACCAGCGTCGACATCTTTCCTAGTTTCTACGAAAGCAAAAGAAGCGTGCAGCAAAGTCTTCTACGGCAACAATAACCATTAGAAAGCCAAGAGCAAGTGCTGAAATAGGCGCGCGGAACGCGGAGTGCCAAACGCGGACGGATTATCCATCCATTATTATTCGATCTCACGGTACACGCCGTGTCTGTATGGGCTGTTGTGAACCGATATAGGGACGCGCACACGTGAACGTAAAGAGAGATAGAGAGGGAGAGAGAGAGAGAGAAAAAGGAAGCAAGTTCGGCATCACTCAGACGCTCTGTGTGAGGACACGCAGCGGCAGAAAGCTTCGTGCTTTGTTGTTCAGTAACGCTATTAATCAAAGGAGTTAAATTGAAAAGCAGATTTGTACTGCAGCAATATAGTTCGCTTGTTTGCCTATTCAATCAGTCGTTGTTGTTTTCATTGTTACAACAAAGCGTCGTTGAGCAGTACGGCCGTCATTATGGCCATCGTAGCTGGTAGCTTGTAAGCCATCGTTTCTGTTGGGTGTTTCTTTTCACTCGTGATATTTCGTCATCGACGTTGTCCATAGCCGGTATTAGTGGTGATAACAGTGCCAACGTTCTGTGGCTTTGGTTTTTGTAGCACTTTCTCCGCCTCACTCACTCGGCCACCAATAGCACATACTCTTATCTTTCGTTAACAACGACGACAACTTCCGCCGCGATTACTTTCTCCCCTTTTCCAACGGACTCGTATCATGTGAGTCGTACGATAGGTAATTTATTAATCGACTGACTATTCAGCTGAAGACAATTATGAAAAAAGGGAAAGGAAGGTGCTACTGATGGCAAAAGAGACAGCAATCGCTCTTCAACTGTGGCATTCACGAGTTCATTTAAATAGTGAAGACAAAGAAGCGGTATTACCCTTGACCACTGGTAATCGTCAGTAAGTGATATCGCGTCGAACACGAAACGGACACAGAGGGGTGCAACGGGTCAAAAGTGTATGCGGGCAGCATCGTTTGTGTTAGACAGAAGTGTGCTTATTATTGGGCGATGTTGGAAGCGGACTCAAATCCTTCCCCCAGTGTTCCGGGGGAATCTCCAGGAAGCGGTTCAGTACCTAGCGCCTGTTCACCTACGTCACCTGCTGGAGGACCACCGCAAAGCTCAAGCCCCGCACACTCCTACAATAGTAACACCCCAAACCATTTGTCGGCTCGGGCCAAAGACTTCAGTATCGACTCGTTGATCCTACGAAGGCAGGATTCGAGCGAACGCGACAGCACTAGCCCCTGTGACACCAATAGGCCAACGATTCCAGCTACAGCCTGTGGAATGTTAGGTCTCAGTAAGTGACCGGTAGTGTCGTTCGTTGTTGTTGCTTCTTTTGTAGGTTGTTTATGCAGTAACCACACACAACATTAGCCTTATACGATATCAAGGTAAACAATATTCGACAGCCACGCCAATATGATTTCTTTAGAAGAATACGAAACCATTCCATCACATTGTTTAGTGAGATAGCTGCCCTTCACCTCTACCTAGAGATTAGGAGGGTCCTTAGCGTAATTTAACTGAATGGAGATCCTGTTCACTTCGACAGCTTCTCTCACAAGTTCGACATTGTATCTGCCTGCCTATACTGACCCATACTAGAGGTCAAAAGGCTTGCACTAAAAATCGTGCGGGCTGATAAATCCACATTGACCTGTATATGCAGTAAACATTCGATCAAGCTATCTGCTTCCTATTACTCGAGCTGCTTTGATAAAGCCTTTAGTTAATCTGTAAATTGAATGTTCCCAGATTAGAGTCCGCTTTCCTATCAACGTTTCTTTATCAATTTTTTTTTACTCGCTGGTTGTACACAGTGAGTATTGCCGCGGGATGTTAGATTACGCTTATTTGAGTGATAAGTATTATTATATAAGGAAGCATGTTTTCCATAGATCGCTAGTTTCATTAGCAATTGTTATACTAACTTTACCTTGCCTTACAGTTGAATATTATAGTGGTTAGAAATGTAAGTTGTTATATATAAGAAGATGCAAATGTTTCGTGAACACTATGTCAACATTTTGTCATCGAAAAGTGTGAGCCTATTCTCAATGTGTCCTGTTAGATTTGGCCTAGTTCAGACGCCGAAAGTCGTAGCTAATTGACTGCTGGCTTTTTGTCTAGCTACGTGTCGTATTCGACTGTTATGATTTCAAACTGTTTAACGATAACAAATGAGTAGTGATCGTAGATCGCAGAGTGGTAACGGCCAATACAAATATACTCACCCAGATATCTCGTCAATATTAATAATGAGGCAGAGTGTGAACATTGCGTTCGTATTGCGGCTTCCCCCCCCCCTCTCTCTCTCTCTCTCTCTCTCTCTCTTTCTATATATATA